TAATCCTAGCACTTTGGGATGCTCAGGTGGGCGGATCACGAGGTTAGGTGTTTGAGGCCAGCCTGACCAACATGATGAAATCCCATGTCTACTAAAAATATAAAAATTAGCCAGGCTTGGTGGTGGGCGCCTGTAATCCCAGCTACTCGGGAGGCTGAGGCAGGAGAATTGCTTGAACCTGGGAGGCAGAGGTTGCAATGAGCCGAGATCAAGCCACTACACTCCAGCCTGGGCAACAGAGCAAGACTCCGTCTAAAAAAGAGAAAAAGAGCCAGGCCTCAGGCAGGCAGGCAGGTGGAGGAAGGTAACTGTGGTCAGAGGCACCAAGGAACACAGCCCTCCCATGGATGGCCTGGGCAGGGCAAAGTGGACAGGATCAGGCTGAGGGGAAAGGCCCAGGCCTACCACCCACTCCCCAATAGGGCCAGGCACATCCCTCGGGGCTTCCTGCTCTGGCCTGTGAGGGGTTGGAGGCACATTGTCTGCAAAGGTCTCCGCTGTCTACAACAACTGTCTTTCCTTCTTGGGCCTCCTTCTTCACCTGTGAAATGACCCTCCTTTTCATGTCTCACTACGGCATCCGCTGTGAAAGCACTTTGTGGACATAATTCACTGTCTGATCGGCTACACCCTCACTTAACCGCTGAGGGCCTGAAAGCAGGCGGTATGCAGATTTTATATTACATTTACACACTCCAGAGAGGTGTGAGTCACAGGGTGAGTTCATGACCTGGGCAGACCCCAGGGCTCCTGGATCCGCCTGGCCAGCCTTTTTCTGGTCCCCGTGGGGTGAGCCGTGACCCGTTACCTCATCTTCCCACTCTCCCTCAGGCCTCAGCCTCGCCAGATCCTAGGTCTCCGAGGGAAGAGGAGGAGGCACCACTGCTCCCCAGAACCCACCTGCAGGCAGAGCCACACCAACAGGAACCCTGGACTCTCACTGAGCCAGCCCTGACCCTAGGCAATGCCACGCCTCCCACGGCGCTGGAGGTTAGTTCCTTGCTGCTGGAGCTGCAGAAGCTGCCAGGATTGGCCAACGCAACCTTGAGTACCCCGAACCCTGATATCCAGGTGAGAGCTTCAGAAGGGCCAGCAGCCCCTCAGACACCCAGACAGAAGGGGGACTGAGAGGGTGGACGCAGGATAGCCTGCATCTTGGACTCCGTGGAAGGTGGGGCTGTTGCGTGGGGTCAGAGGACAGGCTCCCCATGTTCACTCTCTGGTGTAGCAGGCAGAGTACCTGCCCCTGTACTTTCTAGCTGTGGGCTTTGGGCAAATCTCTTGGCTCTTTGAGCCTCTGTTCTTTAGACCATGGCAAGAGACAAACAGCACCAACCTAGCAGGGCTGTGTGAGCACCAGTGAGTGGGAAATGCTCTGTGGGCTACAAGGGACTCCAGGCATCTGGGGAGGCCTCCTGGAAAAGACCTGTGGGTCCGATCCCCGCCCAGACCCCACACCTCACCTGCAGCCCTTAAAGAGGGGGTTCAGCATAGAATGGGGTGGGCTGGTGGCATGGGGGACAGCCACCTGAAAGACTTTGTAGGAGAGGAAATGAGAGCGGCTGGCAGAATTCTAGTTACAGGCGCCACTGCCTGGGGTGAGTGTCTCATGATAATAATTCTGCAGGTTTGTGTAGCAGCTACAGTTTACAAAACACTTTCGCCAGAAGGGAAAAAAAGACCACAAAAGTATAAAACACAATCCTGGGCAGGCGCAGTGGCTCACGCCTGTAATCCCAGCACTTTGGGAGGCCGAGGCGGGTGGATCACGAGGTCAAGAGATCGAGACCATCCTGGTCAACATGGTGAAACCCCGTCTCTACTAAAACTA